TATGGCCACGAGCTGTGGGTAGTGACCGAAAGAACGAGATCGCGGATACAAGCGGCGGAAATGAGCTTCCTCCGAAGGGTGGCTGGCCTCTCCCTTAGAGATAGGGTGAGAAGTTCGGCCATCCGGGAGGGGCTTAGCGTAGAGCAGCTGCTGCTCCACATCGAAAGGAGCCAGCTGAGGTGGTTCGGGCATCTGGCAAGGATGCCTCCTGGGCGCCTCCTGGGCGAGGTGTTCCAGGCATGTCCCACCGGGAGGAGGCCCCGGGCAGACCCAGGACACGCTGGAGAGATTATATCTCTCGGCTGGCCTGGGAACGCCTTGGTATTCCCCCGGACAAGCTGGAGGAGGTGGCTGGGGAGAGGGAGGTCTGGACCTCTTTGCTTAGGCTGCTACCCCCGCGACCCGACCTCGGATAAGCGGATGAAGATGGATGGATGGATGGATATTCATAATGTTTTTATAATATTTACAGTATATACAGAAAAAAACTAACTAGCTCTTCTAGATGCAGAAACTTGGTCACACAATACACAGCTAAACACACAACATGGCCATGATGGAAACAGAAAGTAGGCGGGGCCAGCTATGGTGTTATTTTTATGCCACTATTCTGAGCGCACGCAAAAAAAATTTTGCAGGTGCAAGTGTTGCACTTTGAGGAGAAATTTATTTTGAGTGAAGAAAAGCTAAATTTAAGTGAACAAAATTAATTCCTGCGTGCAAAAACTGTATTTCAGTGTTTGCTATTATACACACACACACACACACACACACACACACACACACACACACACACACACACACACACACACACACACACACAACAGCAGCCCCTCTCACTCAGTTTTTGCATTTGCGCTCGCTCGCAATGTGTTGCTCGCGCTCTCAACATTTCTGCCTGTGCGCGCTCAACTCTTTCTCTACACCGTTATATTTGTGCCACAAAACCAGCCAATCACAGACTTGGATGTGTAAAAATCTGATTGGCTGTTCTGGTCTCCAATCAGCTCGAAGTGACGAAATGCAATATCCCAGAATGCATTTTGTCCAAAACTCAAACGAGGCAGTGGCGGAGGAACACAGAGTGGCGGAGTTTGAAATATTACTCTTTCTGGGTCACAAAATAAACTTTTAAGATTTTTTCATGTGAGAATGTTTCTGTGTAAACTTCAAATATCTGGTCGATTTATCAAGACATCACATATTTGCATGAGTGCTCTGACGTTTTCGGAGATGCCTGTTACCCACCAGCTGACCGCACAGCTGGACTGGCCATTGAGCATCCCGCACATTTTCCCGGTGGGCTGATGTGATTTTTCATTTTTCTGTTTGTTTGTTTGTTTTTGTAACGGTATAAACAATGAAAGGTGGTGGATTAGCCAATTGGTCATGATCAACTCTGGGCTGGACCAATTACAACACATCTGTATTGAGGGGAAAAGGAACGCGATTCGTCCCGGAGAATGAAAAAAAGACACAAAGCTGAAGTTATTCTGTCTTTGCTGCACAGCTGCCTCTTCTCCTCTCATTCTCTCCCCCTCCCTCTCCTGTTGCTACTTCAATCATGAAACTGATCAATGATCAGCTGATCGTCTCTCTCGTTTGTTTAGCTCCCACTTTGCGCCAGAAACAGGAAACCAGCGGATGTCACGCTAAACAACAGCAGCACGTTTAAGCTTGATAAGCTGTTGCTAGAATTTATTTAATATTACTTTCTAGGATCAGCTGTTTGCTGGAGCCACAGCTGTAAAAGCTGCTGCTCATGATATCGGTTTGGATATGTGGTGAGAGGGAAACATGAAGGTGATACAAATCATACATATATACCAACAACACAGTGTACATCACTGTCACAACAGCGTTTGTTTTAGTTCAAAGGCTTTATGGTTTTTCCTATAATACCTGCTGGTGAAGTCAGTGATTTTTTGTCAGTTCAGCCTTTTATATTATGTTTAACCCGAGTGACCACCCGGTCAGCTGGTGGGTAACAGGCATCTCCGAAAACACTAGAGCACTTATGCAAATATGTGATGTCTTGATGAATCGAGCAGATATTAGAAGTTTACACAGAAACATTCTTGCATGAAAATATCTTAAAAGTTTATTTTGTGACCCAGACAGAGTAATATTTCAAACTCCATCACTCTGTGTTCCTCCGCCACTGCCTCGTTTGAGCTTTGGACAGTCCTCATTCACCATTAACTATGAATGAATGATGCGACCAGTCATGGAGCGTGCAGATTTGGAAATTGAGGAGCATATTTGTGGACTTCAGCCCAAAATACTTTGAGGCAGTGGTTGTTAAGAGGATTTGGAAAACACCCACAGAGAACTTCAGTCTAATAGAGCAGCGGTCCCCAACCTTTTTTTGCGCCACGGACCGGTTTATGCCCGACAATATTTTCATGGACCGGCCTTTAAGGTGTCACGGATAAATACAACAAAATAAAACTAGTACCGGTACCGAAAAAAAGAAAATTTATTCATAACACACGTGAAAAGACCCAGGAAAACCGAGTTAACGATAAAAACGATAACGAAATAACGCTGAAAACCGATAAAAACCTTGAAAACCAGACATTTCACACCTGAGCCTCAACTCTCGTGGCCCGGTACCAAACGACTCACGGACCGGTACCGGTCCGAGGCCCGGGGGTTGGGGACCGTTGTAATAGACATTGTACCTGGCTGGCTCAAGGATTTGTTGTTGTCGACAATCCATCCTCCCACGACAACAATAACAACAACACCCCCAGTGTCTCACCTCTAGTTCCACATCCTCATTGCTGCAGTTGTAGCCCTGCACTCAGATCACATCACTCCAGCTGTCTCGCTCAACAGCTGCCCCTCCTCTGCCTGAGGATCTGGTCATGAGGGTGGTCTGGCAAATCTTGTCCCCAGCCACCCACTCACCAGACGACCACCACATGCCAATTCTTTGCTGCCACAACAACCTGCTTCCTGTTTGAGGAAGCTTGGCTCTCGGTGGCGGAACTGAGACCAACTGCCAGTGACCATCATCATCTCAGATGAGCTATCGTCTGACCTCTTGGACCTAGTTCCTAACCTTTTTCCCACAAGCACCTTCTTCCAGGAGGAAGCAAGGTTCCCATTGTAGTCGCTCAATGCTCCTAGAGCCCACTTCACCACCTGCATCTGCTGACGGTGGGCCCCAGCCAGGGTCCGCTGTTCTGCCTGCATCAGCTATCAGTTTTGAGGCATCACCACCACAGTGAGTAAAACTAATTAATTCCTGTGTTTTGTCCTGACGCAGGCACTAAAAATAAACATGAGTTTTCTGTTTTTGAGCCAGTGAGTTTCATGTTTACGCTTTTTGTTTCTGCGCTGGTTAATTGTGAATTTTCTGTCTTTTTCTAGCAGTAATACCCGTTTCTCTGTCTGGTTTTTAAGATTTTGAGCAGGCAGATATAATGAAAGTTGTCACTGAGATCTCAGTTTCTGAGTCAGTCCATATGAAAACTGAGTTTGGTGTTTCAGACTCTGGCAATGTCTCTACCAAGTGTTGGGATTGAAGATGTTTGATTTCTCTTACTGAAATAAGCGGTTATAATTATTTTCATACACACATTGCAAATGTGCTCATGAGAGTTGGCACTCAGTCTTTTGAAGGTCAAAAGCTTCGTTCGGCGTGATGTCCGGACTGATATATTGTAGGAAATGACTGCAAACACGCTTACACACATAGATTATGATTAGAATACGTCTCTGGGTCCGAGAGTCCCGAACATGATATTTTAAACCAATTTTGAATCACTAGAAGAACAATGGATAATAACATCAGATTATCAAGGCTTTTCTGTCTCTTACAGGCGATGGAGCAGATACCAGACGAGGTCATGGAAATACGAGGATGCTTCGCAGCAGACACCAAGACTGCCACGTCCATGCAGGAGGAAGATAGCTGCTATAATCTATGTTTTTGTCTCACTATATAATGTTGTACAGCCCACTTTAAGTTCATCCTTGTTGTGAGACATGCTGGAGGTCCACAGCGCTGTGTAAACTTGTAATTTCAACTGCCAAAAGAAAGGTAAATCCTTTTTTAAAAGACAGACCTTTCTCCTGAGGTTCCTTCCAAAAATTCTGAACACGACACAAGTTAATTGTGTTAGATCTTTCTCATGTAAAGACAGATTTTGTTTTTCTGAGTCAGTATGCAGAAAGTGTTTTCTTTCAGCAATAACACAGAAAAAAAAATAGAGTTTTGTGTTTTGAAGCCTGAGATGGACGAAGATTACTCCGCCCTGTACCACCCCAGAAAAAGAGGTGGGAAAGACGTGAGGTACAACCTGGCCTTGTTCTCTGTCTACCACAGGGAGGTATGGTCTAGAAGTGTCATGGTCCTGAGTCTGAGGACTCAGTGTTTTGTGTTTCCTTATGCTTTTGTTCATTCCGAGTGTGTATTCTGTTGTGATTTTGCCATTTGTTAGGTTTCTGTTCTTTGCCTGCCTGCTCCCACTTCTCTGTGTTCCCTCTGTCTGTCCATGGTGTTATTGTGTCTGCTCATGAGTCTGCCTGTCATGTTCAGTGTCCTGTCTGATTCTGTGTCAGTTTCCTGTTTTATTCTGAAAGTTCATGTCTCATGTCAGTGTGTTCAGTTTTACCTCTCCCCTGTCTCGTTAGCCTTATTGCTCCCAGCTGTGTCTCCCTCCTGTGGCCCATTCCCTGATTACTCCCCGTGTACTTAAGCCCTGTGTTTTCCTGTGCTCTCTGTGACGTCGTCTCTCATGTTGTGTGGATCTTCCTGTGCCTTCATGCGAATGTTAGTTTACTTTTTCCCAGTTAGTTCTGTATTTCCTGTATTCTGCCGTGCCAGCATTAAAGCTGTGTTCTTTAAGTTTATCCCCGTGCCTGTGAGTCTGCATCCTGGGTCCTTCTCCTGCCTGCCGCACAGCGATTCGTGACAAGAAGTTCATAATAACGAGTCATTTTCTGCTGCTTTAAGAAAATCGTACATTAAGTTAAGCACATGTACTTACGTAATGCAGGGTGGTACCACGTCACTCTGGGGGGTGCAGGGCTCCTTCTCCTCCAACTCTGGACAATCTATTCCTCCACCCACAGGGAACTGGGTCACTTTTCTAGTGCGAGTCCACACCGCCTTGGGACTGGTGGGGTCATAGCACTCCTTGGTGCAAGCAGACCATTCGGACCATTCAGTCACATCACAGTCTTTGGTTATCACACAAGCCTGGAAGGTCACTGGCAAAGTCTCCTGAGAGCATAGGCTGTAGAACATGAAAACAAAGACAGCAATGTACTCGATGTAACCACTTAAATGTAATAAAACATGTTTAGAACTGTGCAAAAGTCACAATCGATCCACATTTTTTATATTTTGTAGGAAAAACAGAAATACTGTAACTGACATAATATAAGAGTTATTAAAAAGAACAGGCTGTATGACGTGCTAAAATTTGGTTTGATGTAAAGAAAAAATATTTGAATGCTTTATAATTATGCAATATTTTATCTGTGTGCAAAATGACTGCAGCAAAAGCACAACATTTAAGTATGACAGTTGCATCACTGAAACATCACTGATCATATTTATAGTATAAACACAATATCCTCGGGTTCACAGAAAGCTGGCAGATAAAGAAAAGAAGAAAAGAGGAAGTCAGTGCGAATCAGAATCAGAACTCCGAGCTGCATTTCAGTGGCCATTTCTGTTGTTACCGTTCGTTCACTCCAAGGCTTTTCTCTGTCTGAGGCAGCTAATGTGATAATCGGCATATTGAAGTTCCAAGAATCCAAGTCATTTATTTATATTTTCTGTGGCTGCTTCCACAGGCCATGGCTTTGCTCTTGTTGTTTTTATCACTGCGTTTGCTTTACTTTTTTCAAAAGAAAATTATTTGCGATAATGATGTGATGCTTCTCTTTTTTCAGGTTCTCTAACACTTCCATTTTTCTTCTTTTCTGTATGTTTTAGATTTTAACACGCACACTTTCTTTGCTTTTCTGTGTTAATTGTTTTATTTTACTCTCATTTTGCCTCAATTGACCTGCAAGCCTCTGCATCATGTTTTGGTTATGACCATATGAGGCTTTAGATGTTAAATGGCCTGTTTCTTATTAAGGTTTATATGGCTCATGTGTAAAGTGTAAAGTTACTGAATTTACTAAATTTTAGATTTCAGATCCAAAGTTAACACTGTATATATCCCCCAGTCCTCTAGTCTGTGGTTAGATGCTCAAAGCTAACAATTATGTTTGCCACATTGACTGACATTGAGTATTTTAAACCCTGGGCTTATTAGCCTTTTTAATTATTTACTGTATATTTTAAGTTAAAAACAACAAACAAACAAATCAGCAACTGTATTTTGGTAAATGTGGCAGTTATTGGGTGGCTCATACGTTTAATACCACTTAGTTTAATTCAGAGTTAACATTCTCAAATACCAAAACATCAGCACCGACCTACAGTAACCTATCAAGGCAGCTACAAACTAACCAGTTGTGTGTACTACTTAACTTATATGATCTTTGAGTTGCTTAAACATTGACAGCAACAACTTTGTCAGCTGTGTCTCTGATATCCCTGCAGCCAGCCAGTGAATCAGGTTGTGGTTTATGGTGTGTTATAACCACATCAGCCTATTCCTGCCTCAGCTTTTGATGGATGCAAGTTGTGTTTTTAAAAGAAAAAAAATGAATGAATACAAAAACACTGATTGAGCTTGGAAGCTGTGTATATTAATTATGTTACGTTTTCATCAATTAAAACTGATAGTAATCTTGTTAATGGGGGCATGATAAAATATTTATAAAACACATTTTTGGGTGATTTTTCATCTTTATTAAAAAAATGAAATTATCATTGAGTTTAATTTAAAACCAGTAATGAATAGAATAACAATTGTCAACTCTAAGACAAGCTCAAATATCAGATCTCAAAGATTTAACTATAGCTGTCAGTCTGTAAATGATTTTTAAAAAAAGAAGACAAGCTAACATGCTGACAAAGAAAATGATATCAATACTCTATGAAGGATAGAACCATGACATCACAGATAACAGTTTATTTTCTTTATTGTATTTCAGTCATGGTTACCTTAGAGCTTCGACAGCCCCGCTCTTATGCACACAGGTCACTTCTCTGGTCTGAAAACCAGTTTGTAGGTCCCAGAACTTTCCTCCCGGGCGATTCTGACGATTCTTGTTTCTCTTCTTTTTGATGAGTTCTCTGGTCTCAGCATCTTTTGCTTTGCCCCTCTCCCTTAACCTCTCTTGGACTTTCTCTCTTAATTTCTCTCTTTTTTCTTTGTTTTTCGCTTTTTTCTGTCGTTTCGGCCGATCAGCCAGTAGCGATGGCCTGTCTGATTTCCTATTCCTGTTTCCCCTGCCCAGTTTTCTTTTGGATTTAAGTGGATTTTCGCCGTCTTTGGGCTGTTTGTCTCTTTCTTTTAACTGTTTTTCACCCTCTCTGGTCTGTTTGCCATCTCCTCTGGGTGGTTTTTCACCCTCTTTGGTGAGTTTGTCTCCCTCATTAGAAAGTTTATCACTTTCCCGGGGTTGTTTTTCACTCTCTCTTGGTGGTTTGTCTGCCTGTCGGGTTTGCCTTGGCAGTGGAACAGTGCATGGGCCCCAGGGACCCACCCTGAGACTGTAAAGGCTCTCTTCTCCCTGACAGGGACCTAGCTGGCATGTCTGAAATTCAGTCAGATTTGGGCAGGCTGCCCCACCAAACAATGGTGGAGCCAGGACAAAGCGAATGCGGTTCTGTAACCCTATCCCGCAGGTTTTAGAACAGGGAGTCCATGGGCTAAACTCAGACACCACACAGTCCTGAGGACATGGGATGAGACAGGCCTGCTCTAGGCGTGGTTTGGGCTCAAAGTATTCACAGATTGCATCTTCTGCAGGTTCCCCCTTTGCTTTTTGAACACATCCCACCTCACGGGTCTGAATTCCTTCCTCTCCCTGAGTGCACGTAGTAGGACGCTGCACCCTTGCACTGCGCATCACTGGGACACACTGGTTCCAGGCACCCAGCTGCCAGTCATATAGCTCTTTGTGCCAGTCACACACCCTGAAGCAGCTCTGCTGGTTGTCTGGTCGTTCTGCTTGGTCACAGTTGGTATGCAGGGTGGTCCAACCTTCAGAATGAGCACACCATACCGCTCTACTCTGGCTGCCTCCAGGACCACATTCACTTCCCATACAACGACCCCATGGACCTGTGAAATGTACATAAACAGAGAGGTCAGAGAAGAATCAGCAGTCGTGCTTTTTGCAAAGGGAAAGTCACAGTTTTCATTAGCCATGTATCTTAATACATTTAGTTTCATATTTTAACCTTGTTTTTCTTGTTCTAACACTATACTAATCATTTTAATAAGTTAGGTCTGAGCAACAACTGTATAAAAACGCACAACATGGCTCCATTTCCTCAAAATTTTCCAGTTATAGGGGCTACCATGTCACATTTTTGAAACGAGATACTGCCACCCACTCACCCACTGGATGTGATCACACAAACTTCCCCCTGCACTTTTTACACAGCTTCACTGCTCTGGTTGTTTTTAACGATCTCTGCTGGTGGTTTTACTGTGTCTAATGGCTTGTTAAACTAAGGTAAATACAACCACAATGATACATTGCAAAAGGAATACATGTTAACATCTTATAGATATATACCAGCGGTCCCCAACCTTTTTTGTTCCACAGACGGTTTCATGTCAGACAGTATTTTCACAGACCGGCGTTTAAGGTGTGGCGGGTAAATACAACAAAATAAAAGATACGACAAAAACTGGTATTTTGTAGATATAACAATAAACGCAAATTCAGTGTGTAATTGTGTAACTTTATTAGCAGCGTCCTCCTGAAATGCGCCAACAATATTGAGAGTAGCGCCCTCCTCTCTGCTCCTGGTCACTATGGTAACGCGTGAATATTTCTTTTAAAATAAGACACAACTACAACACGGGAAAGACCCAGGGAAACCGAGTTAATGATAAAAAACCCTGAAAACCATCAATTCCACACCCGAGGCTCAACTCTCACGGCCCGGGACCAAACGACCCGCGGCCCGGGGGGGGGGGAACCGCTGCTCTATACAACATGTAGCATCATTCTGAATTCCTATTGTTGATGAGTTAGCTAGGCTAGGCGCTAGGCGCTAGCATACGCACTATGTTATAGTGTTGTTGTTAGCCATCCTACACACCTGTGTTGCTGCCAATAATTAAGTAATTTGTCATTCCTTAGTTTTTGTTACCCTCGTTTTAAACAGAGAGGGAGGCCTTTGACATTCAACTAAAAACAACTAAAACATTCAACATTCAACTAAAAACTTTCAACTGCATGTTAAATTTAAAAACACAGCAGTTGAAGTTTTTCTAGAGGTTTAATTTGTTGTTTTTACTTAACAACAATTCTATGATCAGCTGCATTTACTTTGGGGGGAAACAACAAGCTGGATTCATGGGTCCAGAAGACAGACTTCTTCTCTTTCTTTCATCATAGCTGTCTTGTGTCTGTTGCATATGTTCACCAAGGCATACGTTCTTTCAGAAATATCAGGAGGACTGAAGGTCATCGCAGGGATCAAGCAGAACTCTTATTTTCACCATCAGCTTCCTCAGAAGGAAAATCCTCTTCAGACCTCCACTATAGGCCCACTCAGAAAACAGACAAAACTAGAACTTCATGAACAGTGTGACAGCAAGCTTTGCTTTTTGTTATGTACAAATACTGCACATTATCACCAGATGAAGCTCAAAGTCTGGACTTTTACATAATGATGTTCAGTCACGAAGAAGGTTACACATTACAAATATATACATATAGGGCGATCGTGGCTCAACTCGTTTGGAGTTTGTCTTGTAATCAGAAGGTTGCCGGTTCGACCCCCGGCTTGGACAGTCTTGGTCGTTGTGTCCTTGGGCAAGACACTTCACCTGTTGCCTACTGGTGGTGGTCATAGGGCTCGGTGGCGCCAGTGTCCGGCAGCCTCGCCTCTGTCAGTGCGCCCCAGGGTGGCTGTGGCTACAATGTAGCTGCCATCACCAGTGTGTGAATGTGTGTGTGAATGGGTGGATGACTGGATATGTAAAGTGCTTTGGGGTCCTTAGGGACTAGAAAAGCGCTATACAAATGCAGGCCATTTACCATATATATATATATGAGACTTTTGATCTTCCATCGGGTTTTTGCTGTCAGAGAAAATATCATGTACTCTGTATGCAGCTTCATGCATTCAGCGAAAGACCAAACTGATGTACTGTTTATTCTCCTCAGTGTAAAGAGCAGCATGGAAGTGGGTAATAATCTATATAATGATAACAGGTACATGGATGTTTAATACCTTTGACTTTTTGTCTTTGACTTTCTCATAAACTAATTTCAGTTTACAGTAGCAGTAGATATTTTGGTAGCGTAGCCTCTGTACTTTGTTCATCAGCTAATTTTGGAGTTTTTACTCCCATATTCACTTAGTGTATTAAGCTTATGACATCTTGTTGAGCACAATTGTGCATGGAGCACAATTAGACCACGAAAATATTTTTGCTGTGATTACTTTGTAAGAACTACTCTCTGAAAAAGATAATATATATTTTTTATTTTTCTATTGAATAGATTATAGAGAATAGATAAACATAAAACCAAGAACTTGACATTTCACAGTCAGCCTTTCATAACCCTTTCCAGTAGAGGCAATTCAATTCCAGTCCTTAAGAGCTGACTGTAAAAGCGCCCATCAAAATAACATTCATTATCAATGTTAGCATTATGGAGAACCACATTAGCAATCTAAAAGCTAAGTGCTCCCTGGTATAATGCACTGACAAATACACACAGTTCTAATTGTTAGCGGCGTGCGGATCGATATTGAAATATCGATTCTTCTGATACCGGTAATTTATGTTCTAGAATCGATTCTCATATTAAAATATCGACATTTTAGTATTTTGGGGTGAATTTGTAGTTTTTCATTAACAGGAACACAGTGGAAAGAAACTATATCATTCAGATCATCTAAATTGGAAGGAATTGCTTCCTCTTACGCCTTTCATAGTCATACGGCTGTATAAATGTGTCGCAGTCCCTGGCGTGTGCACTGACGACAATGACTGAGCGTAAACTGAATCATGTGTGGACATATTTTACCTCCACAAACAGCCAAGATGCGGTTTGCGATACATGTGGCAAGACAGTGAGGAGTTGAACACCTCAGAGTAAATCATATTACAGAATATGATAAGCTTATGTTGAGGCGAACTGAAGAGGAGGAGAGGGACAGGTGCTGCTAGGGCGAGACAGACGTCTCTCGCAGAGTCCTTTAGTGCTGCAGGCAGGCAACATGCTCAAATAGCGCACAACTTCAGGGTTTTTTTTATATGATAATTCTGCATTATTAAGCAACAAGAACAAGTAGTGTGATGTCCTGTAATCATTATGAAGCTATATTATTACAATTACATAATACAACTATATATTGTTTTATAAAATACAATTAAACATTACGTTTTTGTACAGAGTATTGGTATTGGATCAGGATCAGCCACAGCCTGCGCCACAGCCTGCGCCACAGCCTGCGCCACAGCCTGCGCCACAGCCTGCGCCACAGCCTGCGCCGCCACAGCCTGCGCCGCCAGTGGAAGGGCTCAGCGAGCCAGAGGAGCTCAGCGAGCCGGAGGAGTCCGCGCCACACGTGGATGAGCTCAGCGAGCCGGAGGAGCCCCGCGCCGCAGCCGGAGGAGCTCAGCGAACTGGAGGGACCCACTCAGCCAGAGCTGGAGGTCGGCGTGCCGGAGGGACCTCCACATCCAGCGCGCCCTCCACACCACTCACGTCCAGCGCGCCCTCCACGCCGCCCACGTCCAGCAGCACAGGCACCATGTCTACAACTTGCATGGCCAGCACATGGTGGATCGTGTGTTGTGCTACATTGTCGCCAGGGGCAGATCTAGAAGGGTGGCATGGGTGGCAAGTGCCACCCTAAAATGATCCCTTGCCACCCCAAGTGCCACCCCAGTATTGCATATGACTGTGTTGTTTATTAAAATAAGATAGCATTAACAGTTTGAGCGCAGTTACAGTCAACAGTGAATATAAATGCTATATAAAACACCATGGGAATTTCGCTTTTTACACAGGTGGTTGGATGTGACATTGTGGAAATGGAAGGAAGGTGAGTGTTATTAACCCTCCGTGGTCCACGGACACGCTGCACCTCCAAATCACACGACTGATGTAAGCTGACATAGCAACAAGCTGCAGCCAGCTGAGTCTCTATTTCAGCCCACATTGAAAGTTCGGACTTCAAAGTTTTTACATTTTAAGTACAGGCCAGTAAATCCAGAGTTATGATAATATATATAAGCCATGCTCAGTGTTGGGGAGTAACGGAATACATGTACCGCCGTTACGTATTTAAAATACAAAATATGAGTAACTGTATTCCGTTACAGTTACCGTTTAAAAAGGTGGTATTCAGAATACAGTTACTTTGTTGAAATAAATGGATTACACTGCGGTACTTTCCTGTTTCATATTGTCGCGGGTCAGGCCTGTTTGGGTTTTGTTTGACAGCTACGTTCTGTTGTTCCAGGCGGCAGCGTTACGGTTTCCATGGTTACAGGGCGACGCTCTCTCTCTCTGCGACTGTGTGTTTCCTGGGTGAGAGAGCGCCTTTTCGTTGTTGTGCTAAGCTAACAGGCAGAATGCTACAAGCATAGCTCTAAAGAATGTAGCATCATGGGCAGTGTAGTCCGTGCTGCAGGGAGAATGGACTGCCATACACGTTATGGGTCTGTGAGCGCGAGGAGGGAGAAAAAGGGGAGTGGAAAGGTACGAGTTGTCATCGAGGAAAAACGGGAGCTGGAAGCATGTAAATATAATAATAACCACTGCAGCCAAGAAGAGTGCCTGACGAGCCCAGTTGTAAGTAAGCTATTAAGACTCGACTGTACACCGTGTTCGTGTTTTCCTCCGAAACAATAAGTTCCGTTGGAGCAGCCTTTCAACGCCTCTCTCTGTCTCTCACAAGAAAAGTTGACCCAGACAACAAAGTAAAGCTATTTTTCGGCTACGAGCCGACAGGGACCCCGCCGTATTAGTCAGGGGTCCCTTTACTACAGTTCGGAGTCGCGGACCTTCAGTAATAGTAATAAATCACACAGCAATAGTACATTCACGTTGTTGTAAAAAGCATGATAATATATTAAGTAAT